GCAGTACCTTTTGGAGCCAAGTAACCATCTGCAAGGCAAGTGGGCGTGTTTTACTTGACGTTTTTCAAACAGATTAAACCCTTCCCTAGAACTTTACAAAATAAGGATAGCACAAACACCATTGTCACGTCATCATTAAGAACACATCTATGATAATGGATTCGTCGGTGTTCCCAACAATAACGTAAAAAAAAAAATAAAGCCAAATTATCTTGTTACACTCCCCTACCGACGCAGCACCACAGTTTCTTTTGAAACTTACCCACGTTATTCTCCAAATAAAACAACCGACCATCAACAAACAAACAAATAAACAATAACAACACAAATATCTAAATATCGAAACGCTGAAGGAAAAACAAACCTACACAAATAAAACAAACGAACAAAAAAAAACAAACAAACAAACACATACCAAAATCAAACGAAAGCAAGACAGGGCACAAAAACAACAACAAAGTGAAACGAACAAGAAAACGAGCAAATAGACGTTGACAGCTTATTATCTCAGGACTGCGCTGCTAACTCCTAACCAACCCTCCCGTGAACGTAAATACATACCTAGGTGACAGTCTTCAGTCGTCGTCCTTGCAATGAAGGGCACAGATGGGAACATGCGCTGGGCCTCCTAAACCAAAGAGTGCAGTATTTAGATGCACTCAGTTTGTAAATCACCATATTGAGAAGAGTAGATCAACATGTTGCAGTTAGGCAGCGAACGATATCTACTTACATAGTTAAAGTATAAAATGAAAACTCCTCATAGATGGCGGGTGTAGTTGCTATTCTATCACATTCATGTAAAAAAAAAATAGGCCTCTCTAGCCTTGAAAACTTGTTTAAACAAAACTGAGCCGAACCTCAAATAACCACTTCACCACTTCACTAAGATACGTCCCCCGTCCCTACCCCTATACGTATGGTGTTAAAGTCTGAGCCGCAAAAATGTAACGTGGTTACCATACCTTAACAACACATTCCAAGTAACGCAAATCCTTCAGATCCTCTACTGTGAGGGTTTCTGGCCGCTGCTCTAAAATGTTTAAACATTATAGTGGTCATTATCTAATCGTGAAGTTTGAATCACTCATGAATAAGTAAACAAAACAAGACAGGAACATAATCTGGTAATGACACACAATTTAAAAGAAAAATCAATCGAGACACAATAATACGGAACGAGCAAAGGTTTACAAACACTTTTGCGAAGCTCTTCGAGACTCTACATTAACAAAGATCGTGGCCGCGCGAGCATATTGCCCCATAAAGGACTGGTAATGGGTTTGCTAATCCCAGCGTTCATTCGGACGCCAGTATTGACAAAGTCGCGTATGGTCACGGTGCATTTGAAAGAAAAATCAAGATGGAGCATGAACAAAATTTTCTCCATTGCATGGATATCATAAGTTAATTTGCACTTTGTTGTTCTAATGTAAACAAAACGAAAACGAATCGGCTGAAAGGACTGCGTGCAAAGTGCCCTTGAACATCGTAGACGAGACACTCACCGAAAAATTTATCTACTTCTTCGTGCACTTGCTGCTGTACATGAGGATGGCGGGCGAGCAGATAGAGAGCCCACGTTAGTCCGGCGGCTGTGGTATCGTGGCCCTGAAAATAACAAAGATAATCTCATGTAGCTCCAGGATTGGGTTACCAGAGTATCACTCTAACCTGCTTCCCAGAATCGCCCGAATTGTTATGAAATTCCCTGACTTAGAGTTTGCCACAAAAAATAGCTCTTGTCACTAAATAAGCCTGATAAGACTCAGATTAGGAACTTGATATTTGAATTACCACCAGCTGACTGATATACAACCGCGTTATTCAACTTGAAAAAGCAAAAGCGCCCTTTATTCAAGTCTCAGAACGATCGCAGTTGGAGACAGGACAAGGGATGGATAATGACC